TGTCAGATCCTGAATTGTCGTGAAAGTGTTGTACGCCACAACCGTATAACTTACAGACCAAAGTTTTAAATGCCCTGCATTAACGTTCTCTGTACGTTTTGTTAGAATGAAATACTAAGTTGTTTTTCCTTTTTTATAATTTAAGCTTTTATCTTTTTATTGTTATAGAGATACACGAGTATGGGTAACATTTCATAAAGGTGTGTACGATATCACTGATTATCTTAATGTTCATCCTGGTGGTGCAGATATACTCATGATGGCTGCTGGTGGACCATTGGATCCCTATTGGGAAATTTACACACAGCATCTTATTGACAGTACATACGTAATTTTAGAAAAATATCGAATAGGTAAAGTAGGCTAAAGAAGTAAGTTATTTTAATGGTTATGTATAAATGAACCATTTCATACATTTTTCATTTTGGGCTTCCTAACCATTTTAATAAACCTGTCGACATAATTAATATCAACCAATTTTTTTATGGACAAAACTAAGTGAGATTTAACGGTTATCTTCTCTTAATATAAAATTGATGTTATTCTGATTCGATCATTACCGAATCCTCCTGTCATAATATCACGAACCAAAATAATACTAAAATATTATTTATTGGTCTTGATTATAATTAGTAATAAAATTTGTTAAAAGTATAGAGTTTCTTCCCAAATTTGGTCAACACAAGATGCTGAAATTCTTCTGCCAGAATTTCGCTCCAAAATAATACAACTTTGTCAGCAAATTTCGCATTTGTTTAAATTTAACTTCTTTAAAAAATATAAAATCCATCGTTCAATTCAGAATGTAATAGAGTTAAATATTTCACGATCTATTATAATCACAGTTTCTAACAAACTGCCTTCGTTTCAAAGCTCCTCAATATTCAACAACTTTTCCGAACGGTCATGGGTACATTCCGGACCCTTCCTTTTTGGGTATTTTACATTAATTTCTGAATAAAATTGTCTCCAAATTATTTTATTACAGATCAGTGTGTTGGAGATCTTTCTCTCGGTCTTAGGCTTTCTACATTTTCTTCTACTAACAATAGTTCCTTAGACCCATTCTTCTGGCCACATGGCCGAAGTAATTTAGGTATGATGGGTTTACTTTTTTTTAAATCATGGCATGAATTTCATGATTAATAACCAAAAAATTTATTTATTTGATATTTTTTAGATTGTAATTATATTAAAAAACTAAATAAATATGTAATAGTTTTTTGCGGCTCCTTGTAAACTAAAAAAAAAATAAATTTAATTTTCGAAGTTTGTGTATTCCTGGATATAATTCTAACACTTTGAAAAAGAGCAATAGATTAATGAAATACGGCAACTGTATATATCTATATATATATATATATATATATATATATATATATATATATATATATATATATATATATATATATAATTGTATGGCTGGCTAACTATAACTAAAATCAAATAAACAAACACTCTTTTAATGATACTGTAAGCTATAACAAATTACATTAAATTTGTATCTAGTTTTCTAATAGTTAATTTTGTTTTAAAGTAATGAAACCGTTTACAGATGCTATTAAAAATAAATTTTTTCCAGTGCATCAGTTAAAAAATTTTCTATGTTCACAGGAAATTTAAAATTGTCACCCCCTACGCCCAAAAAAGTTTGCTATGCTCCACCAGCGGGTCTTCCTTTTGATAATGAACCTACAAGAGACCCGAGATTGATTCCGGTCACTGAGAGGCCATTTAATGGAGGACCTAAATCATCTTTACTTGTAGAGGATTTTCATACCCCAAAGTAAGATACGTCAAAATAAAATCTACGTTTATACAATATGAGGCAAATGTATCGCTTGAACTACTTTAGAAACGGCTAATAGGATAATGTGAAATTTGCTTTGGTTCTGTAGTATGTATGGCCAATATGTCTAGGATAGTTACGTTATTGACAAATCTTTTGTTTTTTCATATAATATAGGAAATTTTAGTTTTAAAACCCTGCATATTTGACGCTTTTTATATTACATATATGTAACACTCTTAACCCGCGGTTTAAATGCTTGTATATATATATATATATATATATATATATATATATATATATATACAAACAACACAGTTTATTAGGGTTGCAGTCAGAAATATTGGCCGGGATGTTAAAAAAACACTCTTTTGACTTTTTGTCAAGCTTTCGGAATATTTTTATTCCTTTTTCAAGACACTGTAAAAGACAATTATGTAAATATTTAAAAAAATCACAATTCTTCAGTGTAACTTACTAGTCGTTGAGATTATTTTTGTAAGCATTGAACACTCAACATTTATACCACACATTAAAATATACAATTATGGACATAATACATCATAAAATTTTTAAAATTTGTTGTAAAAATAGTAAAACTTGATTGATGGCATGTTTTACTGGTGTATATTAACTCATACAGAGAATGGAAAGAAAAAACAGTGTAATTAATATGTAATTAGGTGTAAATTGATGTTATCTTTCTTTACAAGAATTACTAGAGGCCTTTCTTAGGTGTCTATAATTATAGACACCTAAGAACCAATGTGTATAGACATTGATCATTGTTATATCAAACAGAAATATTGAGAAGGGAAAGAAATTACAACAAAAGACTGTTTCTAGAAATGTGTTTAATTAAAACTACACAAAACACCTTAAACAAAAGAGAAGACATTGAAAATCTTAGTGCTATATACAGTAATCTTCTTTTAAATAAAAGAATAACAATATAAAAGTTCTTAAAAGTTACGCATATGTAAGGGATTATTCCAAGTTCAAATGAGATAAAATTTATTTTTATTTGTATTTTTTCTTTCTTAAATACTTAGTAACATAAACTCTGTTGCTTGTTTAATAACTAATATTATATCAAAATTTGCAATGAAGGTTTGCATAAACATAGACACTTCTTCTGTCAAACTCACCTAAAATAAATATACAAAATAGAAGAGATATGGAAACCTTAGTAATAAGTTTTGACAGAAATAAAAAGTAAATCAAATTTAACGTCATTATGTTAATGACATAATGACAAAATGTAAAATTTTGCTAATTTTAAAAGACAATTCTCACAAGGGTAAGCCTATTGAAGACATAAGAACTTCATTTTTCTAATGTAAATTTTTTATGTTAGTTTTTAGTATGTTTTGAAAAAGAGTAAAATAAACTCGAAAGCTTAGCAAACCTAAAAGAGTTTTACTTAAAGGCCAATATATTGACTACTAAACCCAATATATGTTTGGTCGGACACTTTTTGATATAGAATAACATGGTATTTTTATTTTCAAAATATCGAAGGGAGAATCTATCTTAACAGCTAGACCGAAAATTATTTTTTGTTATTTTGACCATGATGCCCCTATAAAAGCCTGAAAAAAATCATAGAGGAAACTTGACACTCAAAGAATAATATATATATATATATATATATATATATATATATATATATATATATATATATATATATATATATGAAGCGTGCATTTCTATAATGTAGTAAGTGCCAAATTATAAATTTTTCAGGAGGAGTAAAAAACAGGTTTTTATCGAACATGTTTATTTATTATAATGTAACATACTGAAAAAGGATTAGTTTAAAGGTATTATATAATACAAACATACCGCAAAGGAACAATAAACAAAGTTTACTTAAAAAAAAATTCAAAAATCTGTCTGTCAAAACGTTGTAAGTGCCATCAGGTTTGCAAGTCAAAACGTTTTAAGTGCCAGATTTTTAACCGTTGTTTCCTACAGTAGAAACTTGCTCTGGTTGACCTAATTTTTCTTTAAAATACTTCTTGGCATCATCGTGAAGATAATGGAGCATTTTTTCAAAATCTGTTCTTTTTTTCTCTGGGATACCAAAGTGAGTTCTAGTTTTTTGAAGGTCTATGATTTTAAAGTCTTCTAATGTAACTCCAGATTTAAGTACATTGATCTCACTCCATCCAGCGAGCTCACTATGTCCTTTAGCCACCATCACCGTACCAAATTTCTCTCTTGTAAGACGAAGCTGCGTAGCTGTTCAAATTCCTAACTTCTTTGTGTTCAGTTTATCACAGGCAACGGTTTTGAAATCATAAAAGTCCTTAACCACCATGCACGAGAATGGATTTTTCTGGGCCGCACTAGTAATGATGTTAACAACATTCATCAATGTATAAGCCTTACACACTTTTTTACGTTTTTCTATGATTGCGAAATCTCTGTCGCAATTAAGGAAAGTGTGTCCTTTTACAGGAAATTTATGAATAATTTCCTCAAAAACGTTATTTGCTAGTATGGTCAAATACATGGCGTTCATGAACTGATTTTTATTTTGACCCCCACAATTATCCGACCACAAAATAAGCTTTTTCTTTCCGTGATTGCCAATTTCCTTAGTAAGGTAAGTATATAAACAGGAGCTAATTTCCAAGGCACCCCTTCCCCCAAAGTCCTCAGTCCATAAACACATGAATCCCTTTCCTGTGATGTAATCGTGAATTCCTAAGTTACACACTGCAAGCTGTTGTGAATAGTACATTTCGGAGTGAGTTAATTGGGGAATGTACATTTGCTACTGCATATAGAAGGAAAGAACATAGCAATTACTTGTACATGCATTTTTGGTCTCAGTTGACATTGCTTTTGTAGCAGCCTCTGCTCTCCGATGGTGAAGCTTCTGTTCTGTTACAGCAGCTTTATCTCCTGGTTTTATTTGAACAGCCAAACTATCACATATGGAGCATGTATCTACTTTAGGCCTTGCAAAAGATAAGTTAAATTTTGATATAAAAATTTCATTATACCATTGTCTAGTCACTGGTGGTTTGTTAGGCGGCTGATAATCCGCACAATATTTCTCTAAAAATGCACGGTACATTCTACTTACGTTTAAATCCGGTGACAAGAAGAGCTTATCCGGGGTTTTCGCCCTTGCGTAGTGGCTCTCAATTTTTGGAAAACTTTCGATATGCTCTATAATCTTGTTAGTCCAGACAGTCTTGAAAATATTTTGTCGAGCCCCTCCTCGTTTTTCTGACATATCCATTTTACCATCAAGATTTTTTTCTCCCAAAAGTTGCACTCTTCTTGGAGTTACGGCAAACGTACATACAATTTTTTTCACAAAATTTTATAAATTTAACCAGCTTTTACGGCACCATTCTCAAAATCGTAAGTAAGATCAACGTACTTATAACAGATTGTCAATTTTCATGTAAACTAATTGTAGCTTATCCCTGATGATGTTGATAACTATCAACGAAATATTGGATCAATAAAGGACTAAAGAGTACACTTAGCCTATCCTTTCAGCTGTTTTTACCCAAAGAGGTCTAACTGGGTTTATTATATATATATATATATATATATATATATATATATATATATATATATATATGTATCTGTATATGTATACATATGTGGAGATGTTCTTAACCCCGACACTGCTCGTCTCATAGCTGATAGGTAACGTCTTATGTATAAATAGGATAGGTATGTCACAAATACCAATTATAATCCGCAACAAACAGTCGTTATAACCTCAAGGAACGCTGAGAATCACACTAGATCATATAGTAATATCATAAAAGTACCCAAGGTGACGGTGGCACACAGACACCATCCTAATACTAAACTAAACCAGGCTCAAGCAGATATGATTATCAATAGGTGGATAAGTCTCCGTAGGATGTAGTTCCATAAACAATCTTTAGCTCAGAGACCCTGTAGGTAAACTGTGCTGAAAAGGATACTACAAATAAACCATAGAGCTGAATAATATGCTCAATAATTTCTCAGAAGCTTCCTAAAGAAACAAAAGACGAAAAAGAAGCCGTCTAAATTGAGCAGTATCTATACTATCAACAAGGTTTCCTACAAATCGTTGGGGGCTGCTCATGTGAAGACGTATTATAGACTTGTAAATGTATTATTAAAAATAATCAAAGGCCTCAATGTTAGCAATCAGAGTTCTCCAGATGAACCTTCAGCATAGTAAGACAACTTTGGCAGAACTTACCTGCTAAGAGCAAAATAAGAGGTATATCGGGCATTGGTGTAAAAATTATATAAAACCGATCTACTAAAGTCTCAAAGACTTGTAGCTTCTTCTTTACGTGCAATATTAAAGTTATCAGACGTTAGCGATCGCCATTGCTAAGGCTTCTCAATCTTCTACCACATGAAATAATTGTCCTGCATTTGATATCTCAGTCAATTCGCAAATTTTTTTTTTAACCAAGAAACCTATTTTCTTTTTACACCTCTACAGCCTTCTTACTTTGCCTTTAAGCAAAGCACATATTTTATATCGATTTCCCCCCACTATATGTTCCCAGACAAGACATTTTCTGATTTTTAACAGTCTTTATCAATTCTCTATCTTTGTTGACCCTTCGTAGTACTTCCTCATTGGTTTTTCTTGCTGTCCAAGATATCTTTAGCATCCATCTATGAATCCGCATTTCCAGTGCTTCAATATGCTTCAACAAGTTCATACTTGATACTTTTAGTGTCCACACTTCTGCTCCATACAAAAGTACATACCAAATATAGCACTTAACCATTCCTTGTCTTAATTCTAAATTAAGAAGGTTATTGCAAAGAAATGTCTTCATTTTCATAATAGTTTAAGTAATTGCTATTCTTCTTTTTATTTCCATATCTGGATCTAGTTGGTCCGTTATGACAGTTTCCAAAACATGTAATTTTGTGAACTTTTTGAATTTGGACTTCATTTAATTGAAGTTTTGCATCTGGATGTTGATTACGAATAAAGACTAAAAATT